CTATTATCATGCATGCTTTTCAGTGCTGCTGATGGGGAATGCAGAAAGAAATTTCCAGTCACTATGGCTAGCAGAATTTTGTGGTCCATTAGAGCAATGACTGTCTTAGTGACAGCCATTTTTGATCCTGTCTCCTTCTAAGTATGAAAAAGTATGAGCCAAGTGAAAGTGTTTTATTTTTTATTTGTTTGTCTGATTTCACTAGTCTGATTTTCTTGTTTGGTGGTTGTGTCACAAAGCAAAAGGCTGGCTGAGGACTCAAGTGAGCTGCTGTTGGAGAGTGCGTCCTTTGGGACATACTCCAATTGTCATTGCAATTCATTAATAGTTCAGTATGGATAATATTTAAGTACACTTACTTTCAACTGAATATATTATAGAGTCTAACTATTTATTTTTTTTAACCACCATGATTAGTTTGTACTGCCTTTTAGTTTGAAGAGTATACTTGCAAAGCAGGAGCTAGTCTGTTTGTTGGATTTTAAAAAATAAATAGATAAAGTTTGATATTCTCTGCTGTGGTGCTCAAAGACCATTTACACATTTTAAAACACACACTTGTCCGTCTAATTGGTGAGGAAAGGAATGGTAAATATCACCAATCCAGTCTGTGTTAAGTATGATGTTTTGACTGTGTTTCTCTATTTTTTTTTCCCTTCCTCACCTTTGTGCGTTTAATGCAATATTATTTCTTTATGAGGTGGAAAAAAAGCTATAGAAAATATAGCATGTTTTTGAAGAATTTATTGTATTCTTTTATCAATAGTTTCCTTCTGTGTTAAGTCTTTTTGTATTTGGCATCTCTTCATGGATTGGCAGAGATGACTACATATTGCTGCTGTGAATATAAGTCATTGCTACATAGTTTAAGAATCAAGCTAATGCAGGAGAATGGATGAAAAGCTAGTTGTGTAACGTATGCTTTTCATAATAGGATCTTGATTGTTTTTCTAATCCCAAGATCTGATGGAAACCTTTATAGGACATGCATGGTGGGCCTCCCTAATGCAGTCTTTAGTAGCTGTAGTTAAGTCATAGAGCCATTAGCTTGACTTCAATTGCTCACAGATGTTCATCTTCACTGTTAACCAGGCCAAGTGAAGTTTTGCTCTGTGGGTGTTTCGAAGAGGGTGATTATTACAATATAATTGGTGCAATACTTCTGTGAGGAAGGGGGTGGGAACTTTTCAAAAGGTAAATACACCATTTACATGTATTTTTGTGTAAAGTTGGGACTCACTTTTATGGTTTGCAGTTATTCTGCCCAAATTACTGGTGAACCCAACAGTTCCAGCAAGGAGCGGATATTATTTCCTAGTGGAATAATCAGCAAATTGCAGAATAGCTAAGCCAGGAAAGGACCTCTGGAGGTTATCTGGTCCAACTCCCTTTTTCTGGCAGATCCACTTAGAGCCAGTTTTCTAGGACTGTGTCTAGACAACTCTTGACTAGTTCCAAGAATGATGATCCAGCAGCCTCTCTAGAGAAGGTGTTCTACCACTTAGTGTTAAATAATATTGTTTCCAGGTGTGTTTAAGTCTGTAGATTTGACACTTTTGGCTTTGCTTAATCTGTGCATTTGAAGTTGAATAACTTTTAAAATTTAAAATTTTGGCACCTTTTCATGATATGTGCTTCTTAAGATACGTCTTCCTTTAAAACAACAGTAATACATTTCAAAGACTTATATTTGTTTGCAGAGCCACAGTAGGTTTCTTGTATTAATATGAGAACAACATGCTGTCATCAGCAATTATGATAATTAAATACAGTTCTTTTTTCTAACGATATCTTAAAAGTGTAGGTAACTTAAGCAGACATACTGAAGACATATTGCATCTGTAAAAAACAAATACAGCAAGAATGTGAACAATTTAAATACAAAGCCATGATGACAATCTAATTTTGATCTTGCATAGCTGAAATCCCTAGCTCTTAGGAAATACTTACTCTGGAAACTTCTTGTTGATGGATGAAAATATGTTCCTCATATAAATAAATCATATGGAATTTTTGTAGTTCCTGTGACCTTTCTTCATGGCTTTCTGTCTTCTGTTTCAGAGAGATTCAAGTGATACACTATTTAAAAGAAAACAAGGAAGCCATTTTTAAATGTCATAAATGGAGCTGTATTATTTCAGCAGTATTTCTTTGTGTTTTAAGAGCAAAGAATCACTTGATTAAAATTAGGTCTCTCTTTCTATTCCTAGTTTTGACAATGCAAACTAGTATTTTGTCGCAATCATAGAAATTCTGTGGGTCTGCGATGATATGCAAAAGCTCCTGATGTGGAGATTGTGTCTTAAGTAATTCTTTCTTTAAAACATTTGCTAACAGAAATATCTGATAATTTGTTAGATTTGGTGTTACAATTATTAGTAAATATTATTTGAAGACATTGGTTCTACTACTGCTGATGCTCTGGAGTGGGAACAGTGCAATGACTCATTCATCTGTTAAAGCTGTTGTGCTTACATGTGCCTTCAGTTCTACAGCGCTACTTTTTAAAGTTGATTCTTCACTTAGTGAACAAAATCTGAGCGTGTTTGTTTGCCATACCAAATAATTTATGCCCCTTCACCTATGTAGTATGTCAGTTTGTTGTTACTGAAATCGTTATTTCAGGCCAGCATATAATCATAGAATGCTTTGGTTTAGAAGGAGCCTTAAAGATCATCTAGTTGCAATCCTTATGCTGTTGATTGCCACCCATTAGATCGGGCTACCCAGGGCTCCATCCAACCTGGCTTTGAACACCTCCAGACATCCACAGATTCTCTGGGTCTCACCACCATCATCGTGAAGGATTTATTTCTAATATCTAATCTAAATCAACCATCTTTTAGTGTTAAGCTTTTAACCCTTGTCCTGTTGCTACACTCTGCAAAAAGAGTTTCTAGCTTTCCTGTAGGCCCCCCTTAGGTACCAGACGGCTGGTACAAGGTGTTCTTGGAGCTCTCTCTTCTCTGACTGAAAAAATTAAGACTGACTGATAATCACTGGGGCTACATATTTATATTTCTCTTGAATAGGTGTGTATGAAAGATGTTCAGCTGAATTGTAACATAGGGTATGCGAAATGCTTAAATGCATTTGTACTGTTCTGAAGATAGTTTTTCTGATGTGTGTAAGGAAAAAAAAAAACATCTGAAAAAACACTGTGGGAGTCTTAGGAGGGAAGTTCACATCACAAAATACAGTTTTGAAAAAATATGAGTTTCTGTGATATTTAGTATTTATGTGGTACAATTACATTAGCAGTAGTGCTGACAATACTGAAATGGTATTTTCTGGATTTGGAATTACACACAAGCACGGGGGTTGGAAAGGACTTCAATAGATATTGAATTCAATCCCCGTGCTGAAGAAGGTACTGCACAGTAAGTTGCATAGATAAGTATCCAGATGGGTCTTGAATATCTCCATAGAAGGAGATTCTACAATCTCTCTGGGCAATCTGTTCCAGTGCTCCATTGCTCTTCTTATTGTGAAAAGTTCTTCCACATGTTACTACAGAACTTCCTATGTTCAATTTTAGGCCATTGTTCCTTGTCATATTGCTATGCACCACTGAGAAGAGCTTGGCCTCATCCATTTGCCTCCCATCTCTCTTTAGATAATTATGAATATTTCTCAGCTCCCCTCCCAGTCTTCTTTTTCCCTAGCAGAACAGACCTCATAGGAGAGATACTCCAGGCCACTTATCATCCTTGTGGCCCTCTGCTGGACTTCTTCTTGGAGATCCCTTTTCTTTTTGAATTGAGGAGCCCAGAACTGGACACAGTACTCCAGATGTGGCCTCACCAGGGCAGAAGAAAGGGGGAGGATCGCTTCCCTCAACCTACTGGCTCCGCTCTTCTTAACTCACTATTGGCCTTCTTGGGTACAAGGCTACACTTCTGGCTTAAGGCCAACCCGTTGACCACCAGGACCCCAAGGCCTTTCTCCATGGAGCTCATCTCCAGCAGATTATTTCTTATCCATGAGGTTATTCCTTCCTAGGCTCAAGACTCTACACTTGCTCTTGTTAATTCTCATCTGGTTTTTCCCTGCCAACTCTCCTGTCCGTTCAAGTCTTGTTGAATGGTAGCACAACCTTCCATAGTGTCAGCAACTCCTCCCAGTTTTGTATCATCAGCAGACTTGCTGAGGGAGGACTCAGTCAACAACCTGGATGAAGGGATAAAAATGTTGAACAAGACCAGACCCAGAACCCCGCTGGGGAACACCGCTAGTTACAGGCCTCCAACCAGACTCTATGCTGCTGATAACAACTCTCTGAGCTCAGCCAGTCAGCCATTTCACAGTCCACCTCACTGTCCAGTTATCTATTCCACACTTATATATATATACTCTATATAACACTTATATATATATACTCTATATTTCATAACAAGGATGTTGTGGGAGATGATGTCAAATGCCTTGCTGAAGTCAAGGTACACAACATTCTTTGCTCTCTTCCCATCTACCTACCCAATGATGACGTCATAGATGGCTACCAGGTTGGTCAAGCATGATTTCCCCTTGTTGAATCTATGTTGACTCCTCCTAATAAGTTTCTTTTCTTTCAGTTGCTTGGAGGTGGCATCTGAAACAGGTTGCTCTGTCACTTTTCCAGGGATGCAGGTGATACTAACTGCCCTGTAGTTTCCCAAGTTCTCCTTCTTGCCCATTTTGAAGACTAGAGTGATGTTGGCTGTTCTCCAGTCTTCAGGCACCGATCCTGTTTGCCAAGATCTTTCAAAGATGATAGAAGGTGGCTCAGCAATCACTTCTGCCAATACACATACTCTTTCAGTACATGTGGGTGCATCCCATTGAGGCCCATGAGTTTCTTGTATGAGGAATAATTGTATTTGGTATAAAGAAGCATAAAGAGGAATACTTGTTTTATGCGAGATTCATTTGCTGAATACCAGCAAGCCTTAATATTTTGTATGTTAGTGTGTTTGGTAGATGTGCTAGATGTTAATTTTCCTTATTTTGAAATGTTTCAGGTTCGTGGCAGTAAAGGTGAAGTCCTTTATATCCTGGATGCAAGCAATCCACGCCATTCTAACTGGCTGCGTTTTGTCCATGAAGCTCCATCACAGGAACAAAAGAATCTGGCTGCAATCCAGGTAGATTTTGTACATTCCTACTATTTGCTTTCTAACTTGATCTCCTGTTCAATCGTTATCTTGTGCAGAAAAAAGATTTGAGAAACATAACTTTCCTTTTCTTATCTTTCCTTTTTGGAGGTGAACACTTGTGCTTAAATATGGTACCATAAATAAAAGATATAAAGACTGAAGGAGTTGTTAGTTAAAATCTGATATTCTTTGAAAGATTTATATTAATCCACTGAGATGAAAGTGCACTAAGTAAATTGTATGAGCTATTTCTCATTTATAGTAAAATGAACAGTTTACATTTAGGAAAAGTCATTTCCGGAGTAGTTCGTACACTTCTATAATGACAACCTAATTTTCTCACTACAGCCTTTCTCAGTCCCAATTAAGTTTTTGCCTGAATGCAGTTGTTTCTTCTCATGATGGAAATTAGAAACGCAACTATGTAGCTCTATAGCTGTCTAAATCAAGATTAGTGATTCAGAGATCTTTTGTGCTGAATTCAGGTATGGACTTAGATGTGAGAAAAGCAAAATCTTACCTTTGCTTTATAGTTAGTTTAAAACGTAATGCAGCTTTTGGCAAATTTGATAGCAAGCATGATGCTTAAATTATTCCAGTAGAAAACAGAGAATTCAAGAATCTAATTATCTGATAGGATGATCATGCAGTGCTTGAGGATAAGTTAATAAAAGCAGATCATTTTCTAGTCTTGGCAGCAGATCTGAATTTATCCAGCTTATTTTTTATTTTTATATTTCTCATTTGCAACGTTGTGTGGTAATGAGTTCCATTGTTTTAATTACATATTATGTGAAACATGCTTATGCTTTTCTTTTAGCAACTTTTTAATTTCACTTGATTTCTCTTCATCCATGTGTGACAGTGAATAGTCACTTTGTTCCTTATCCCGTGCCATCCCTGATTTTATAAAACACTATTATATCCTTTCCATTTTATTTGACAACTCTTTTCTCAAGCTGAAGAATCTTAATCTGTAAATTTTTGGAAGCATTTTGTGACTTTGCAGAATGATAACAAAGGCAGCCATATTTTTCTAGTTATAGCTATTGTCCTCTTAGAGATTATGAAGTAAACAAGCTCTTGGAGCTTTTTTTTTTTTGCACAGCTCAGTAAAATAATTTTCAATCCCCCGTAAGCAAAAATTACTATGCTGTTATTTTTTTTTTTTTCTCAAGACATATTCTTGCCAGAAAGCTGTTCCAAGTTAAAACAGCTTATACTCTAATGTAATCAAAATCTGCATGTGTATATGCATATAAATATATATATGCAAATTTATATATATATATATAAATTTATATATATATAACAAAGGAGCCTCAAAGACCATCCAATTCTAACCTCCTTACTGTGGACAGAGTTCCCACTGTCAAGGTAAGGCTTTCCAAGGCCCCATCCAATCTGTCTTGAATGCCTCCAGATATGGGGCATCCAAAGCTTCTCTGGGCAACTTGTTCTAATGGCTCCCCACCCTCTGAATAAAGAACATCTCCCTAACGTGCAATCTAAATCTTCCTTTTAGTTTAAAAACATTCCCCCTTGTTATATCACTATACGCCTGTGTAAAAATCAGTAAAAAGGAGAAACATTAGAAAAACAGTATAAATGTTTATCAGCATTTCTTAAAATTATAGTTCTGCTTTTTTGTCTTGAAATGATTTTTTTTTTTTTCTCCAGGATTTTCCAGCAGATCCCTGAGAAAATGATTAAAAAGAAGTTTATTCTGAAGCCAATCAGAAATATTTTTAGATACCTTTATTTGCTGAGAAACAAATGAAGTAAAACAAGAAAAATGTTTAATAATAATAATAATAAAAGATTAGTTAAGTTTCAGGATGTAGTTTTGTGAAAGGTGCACACTGATGGCACTCCAATTTTTGTGCTGAAGATCTGATGCTTCCTTGAATATCATGTTCTCTAGAGGGGCTCTTGTCTTGTTTGGTTTTTAAGCAAGCACTGTCCAGTGAGATTTCTGCTGCCGGTTCTTAGAGACTTCATATGTCCTTCCTCTTTTTTTTTCAGCAGTGAGCCTTTCTACGATTTCCTTTCTGCTGTTCTACTGCATCTCTTTTCCCTAGCAATTTGATTTGTTATCTGCCTTCACTTGATTTGCACCTCCTACTTTCTAAAGCTCTAGTTCTACTGAATGGCAGTCTGCAGTTTACATCTGCAGCTTTTTTTCATGGTGATCCTGTGTAAATGAAAATTCAAGGATGATCTCTCTAGAAACTAAAGGTATATCTACTGCTGTCTTTCAGACCACTTTGTTTCTCTCCAAGTAATAATCTTCACATATCTCTGGCATACCATTGCTAGCTGAAAATATCTGCAATTTTGCTTCTGATATTGTTTCTTTGTACTTTGTTATTGTTCCTGTTTTACTTTGCTACTGACAGCTTTATCATCAGTTTATCCTTTGGATCTGTATGCTTTAATCTTTGGATCAAACTTCTTTAGGTCTTTACGTCCAGGCTGCAGTTCAGTTTTGAGTAATGTTAAGGGTGTTCACTGTTCGCCCATTCAGCAAAACCTCTTGTCAGTAATTGACTGAGTGAGTGCTTTGCTATGATTTTCCATGATGTTTGTGGCAAGTCAATGGGTAATTTAGTATGATCACTGTCTGTGAAATTATTTCTGTATTTTTTTTCCCTCTGTCTTGTTCCTTCTGTTATATCAAGACTTCAAACTTGAAGATTTCTGGCATGGCCTGTTGTCCTGCTTACAGCACTAACTATGAAAGACCCTCATATGTGGTCATCAGTCCTCGGCGTTAGTCAAGTATGTATTATAATCATTGAATAGTCAGTGTGATATTAATTGCAGTCAGTGTTGGCGAATGTGAGGTAAGCTTCACAAGAGGGAGCAGTGTGAACAATTAATGTTTGTTATTACATTTTAAATAAAACACTCAGTAAAATAACCTGAATTTCTGAACAAGTCTTAATAGAATGTCACATCCAGTGTTTTTATTAATGAAAATGGTCATTTGAAGAAAGGAAAAGTATCATGAACACAAATTAATGAACACAAACAGAAATTTACTGAGTCATCACTTTTTAAGTGCCATTGATTAACAACTGACAACACTTGTATATTCTTTGTGAGTGAAATTTTGTGTCTGTATATATATACATGCATTTAACTACAGGTAGCATGAATAGGTACAGCTTATGTTAAGTAAAGCTAAATATGCACATATTTCCTTTCAGGGTTTTGTTTCACTTTAGCAGATGGAGGTGCAAGTGCCAAAGCACCTCTATTTCTCTTGGGAAGAAAAAAGCCCACATATCCATGAGTATTTTAATTCCATAATCTTTGTATCTTTGTACTTAATAATAGGCAGTAGCACTTTGCTTTGTGAAATCAGAGGACAATATGCAAGTGGAAAATTTCCAGTATTCTTTATTTAGAATTGTGAGTTGCCTGTTTGCCACAAAGACAACATGTTTTACAAAGAGGGGAAAGGTATAAACTTTGTTAAAATGCTTCATTACAACTACGTTGAGAAGTTGCATTTCAAAACAAATACCTAGATAATTAAAAGGTTAAAAGAATTCAAAATAGAGAGTACTACATCAAACAAATTAAAAGCTTTATCTTAAAGAATGATTATGCTTTATATAATAGAATATGTCTGCATAATTACAGAAAACCAATTATCTAACTAAGAAAAGAAAATAGAATAGTTAGAAGTGGTTAAAGAAGTCGTGTTCTCAGCAGCACGTTATAATTACCCTGGAGAAATGTAAAACTCTTCAAGATGCTTTTATTAGTGAAGAATTTTTATGAGTTTGGTGGGGAGTTTTAAAGGAGTATTTGACTTCTCTCTTTTAGTTTTGCTTACTTTTTGAGGTGAATTTTTACTGGTGAATCTCACAAATCAACAATGATTACTTAAAAATAATTGACAATTTATGATACTAGCCTATAAAATGAGAAAATAAAGCTTGTACACTTCACAGGTCCCCTTTCAAAATTTCCTAGGAGACTTTGTATGAACTAACAAATGTGCGAATGGAAGCCAAACGAGTCCTTTTGTTTTTGAATTCCCTCTGCTGCTAATTTTCACTAATTCTCTTTCCCACTAGTTTTCTTTAGCAGTGTCCAAACACTCCAACAGGAACTTTTTGGTCCGCTGTGAAAACACATTGTTTCACTCCAGTACTGATAAACGTTATAACCTTATATTCAAAATAAAGTTATCAGTTCACTGTTTGCTGCTTAGTGTTTGGTATTCTGTTTAAAGGAAAAAAAATTTGGAATCCTATGCCTCTGTATACAAATAAGGTAAACCACACCCTTAGGTTGATTGGAAAATATGATTAATTCATCACAGGTTAATAGTATGCAGTGATTAAATTTAGATCTTGTACGAAATGCTTACTCTGTGGTAAAAAGGCATGGGAATTACTTTATATAATGGTGCTTTTTTTTTTTTTAATGCAATGCTTAGTAAAACGTAGTAAAATGTTCTGGAGAGATCTTCTGGTGACATTGTGGGGTGTGTGTTGGTCTGACTTCTGGCATTGCTCGATGGTGGAGCAGTGATGTTTAAGTGTTCTTTGACTAGAAACATCCAGCATGTATCATTAACAGCTCTTTTGTCAGTTGTGCCAATATGCTGCTAGAAAATAACAAAAGAGGTTGGAGGGCAGCAGCACGGATTGTTTTTCTAGGCATTTTGCGGTTGAATTGCTGCAGGGCTCTCTAACTTGTTTCAAGTATTTATTAAATGAATTAATCCCTTATTATATTTAAAGTAGCTTCAGGTTTACAACTTCTGCATTAATAGAAACTGTACTATTTGTAATCTTTTTTTGCCTTGGGTTACTCCTTATCTATTTACTTACAAATATGACTTCTGATATGTAGCAAAAAATACGTTGTAATTATAATAATCTAAGGAAAATGGCTCCTATGAAAAAAAATCTGTATTTTTTCCCCCATTTTTTGGAGTGATTAGTATTACATCTTCATTATTCTTTTATACTGAATGCATAAACTTATCTGTTTTTCAGTTGTATTTTTATTAAACACTCTGTGCTGGAGATTACTTTGCGAAAAAGATTCTCTTGTTGTTAACACGAAAACTGTTTTACTAACAGCATCGCAGACAGAATTTGAAATTCAAATATTATTTCATTAATAAGCAGGCAATGAGTCGGTCTAATGTAGCTCAGAAAATCATGAGTTAGAATAATAATTAGCAAAAACTGATATGAAGGAAGATATCTACTGTGAATGGGTAGAGTGGTTTGAAGATGTATTTCATGAGTGTAACAGAGGACTATCAGTATGGGAGAGAGAACGCTGTAGTAAGCATAGTAAATGTGGATGATCTAAAAGGCAAGAGTGATAGAAGAAACAGGGAAAGCAAAACCAAATTGTGTTACGCTGCTTAGTAAGTCTAAGTATTGCTGAACAGTTTTGTGAATGCCTGAATTTTACTGGCGGCTTCAGCATTACAAAGGAGAGATAGTATTTTGGAAGCAGTTTAAGAATCAAAATGAACGTAGTTCATTTTGTATGTTTGGAGGGGAGAATTCAAAATTATATTGATTCTTGAATTCTTCAGTAGGAAAGAGGAGAAATTTTAATTTAAATGTAACACACATTTATCTGTGTTTGAGTATACTCTAGTGCTGTTGAGTTAGTCTGTTACCGAAGAGAGGTGATCCTTTCATGTACTTGGCACTGGTGAGGTTTCACCTGGAGTACTCTGTCTATTTCTCAGCTCCCCAGCACAAAAAAGATATGAAGATGCTGAAGAGAGTCCAGTGAAGGGCCACACAGATGATGAAAGGATAGGGATAGGAATGCCTCTCCTATGAGGAAAGACAGGGAGAGCTGGGACTGCTTAGTCTGGAGAAGAAGACACTCAGGGAGGATCTTTTTAATGTGTGCAAGTACTTTAAGGGAAGGTGCAAAAGAGGCATAGCCAGACTCTTTGGTGCTCTGCAACAGAACAAGAGGCGTTGTGCACAAACTGGAAAACAGGAACTTCCCTGTGACCATCAGGCTGTCCAGAGAGATGGTGCATTCTCTCCCGTCTCTCTTGCAGATATTCAAAAGGAGCCTGGACATAGTCCTGGACAAGCAGCTTTAGATGTCCCCACTTGAAAAAGACAGACCAGGTGACTCTGGAGGTCCTTTTGTTTTGTGATTCTGAGAGAAGGTGTAACTTATCTTTTTTATTTGTTTTATTTTTATTTTTTTATTTGTGTTCCACAGAGCCTCTAAAGAAGGGTAAATTGTAGCATCTCTGTTTAGGTTCCTATAGGTTTATTAACTCTTGATAGTACTGGTGAGCGTTATACTGGATATGTACAGAGTACATGCCATTAAAGTGCCACGTTCTGAAGACAGGGGGAAGAAAACCTGCTTTAGTTTTTGCAACAAAAGCTTTAGCAAGAAGAGACAAAAGCTTTAGTGCTTCTCTATAAAGCCACTGGGATTGTGATCTTTTTGGAATTAGGTTTTTGTACGCTTATCTTGCAAGGATTTTCTGAGAGAAATGGTACCTCTGGGCAGAGAATACAGTTATGGTAGCATATTAAATTGCCAGCAAGGTGTCCCTAAATGAATATTTGAAATATAAATTTGAAAAATGTTAAAAACAGAAGTGATACAAGGAGCGGATTGTGGCTGAAATGAGTTCTGTAAAAAAGTGTCCAATCTTCTTATCAAATGGTTTCTCAGGCTTGACTGTGTGAAATTCCAAGTCAAAAGTAAAATAAGTTCCTGTATGTAGAACTCACCTTCAGTCTTTTTGCATGATGCTGATTTAAGTATGGTAGAAACTGAAACTTTTGGCTTCAAGATTAAGATCCAAAACCATGTGGTTTTTTTTTGTTTGTTTGTTTGTTTGTTTTTGTTTTGTTTAAATTTCTTTTAGTATTTCAATCCTTTTTTCTTTTTTTTTAGTCCCTCTTCACTAGCTGGGAAA